TTGGGAAATTTAATTATGCGAAATTACATGCTGGTATTCCAGAATTCAATGGGGTGATAAAATGCCAGAACCCGAACCCCTTGGGAAAGTGAAGAGAACAATAGTTGCATAGTACTATTGATCAACATCATAATTACATCTCTTTTGCCGTAAGAATACCCATATGGCTATGTAAAATCATTTGTATTCGGTGATAACCATTTGGTTAGAGGGGGTTGCGGAGTAGTTGGTACGACATTTCGCAATTCGGCAAGGAGGGAGAAAAAAATAAAAAAGTTACACGCATAGAAACAATTAGCGACATCCTATCTATTACCGTTAGATCAACACATCTTCATCTCATCTACTACCATAGGTGGGTAATACACATCCTGTTGTTAAGGAATACTGATATACACATTTGGATATAGAGAGCATTCACACATGTTACCATTAAATGTTTTTGTGCCTGTAGTAGGAAAAAATCCCTTTAAGTTTGTAACCCTTATATTGCCAGGGGATTTAAGATCGTTTCACAAGTCATGTTTGAATGATGAAAAGAATGATATTTTTGGAAGTATGTCACACAAACTGTAGATCAATAGAAAAATAAATAGTCATTTAAAGTTTAATTTCACATTAAGCATGACGACATTTTTTTTTCCACAACAAGTTGTTACTGTACACTTGTAATGTATAACTCAAAGAGAACGTTCTATATCGACTAATTTAAGAAGGCAGATATAGAGTTGAGATTATGTCTGATAGAAGGTACATACCCTAATAATATTTGTGTCTAGTCTCTTGAATCTCACAGTAGTTACACACTTACACTCTTTTAGTAAAAATAAATTAAATTATAAAATGTAAAATGAAAAAAACAAAAAAAAAAGAACCAGACAATTAATTAATAAAAAATAAAAAAGAATCATTAAAAAATAAAAAAGAAAATCATAGAAAAAAAAAAATAAAAAAATAAAGACAGACAGACAGACAGAAAGCAATTACAGTTACTCTTTTTGATTTAACACACATTCATTCCCACTTACTCACTTTACACTTTTTTTTTTTAAACCACCACAATTTCTAGTCACCAATTTTATAGACCCTACCCTTTTTTTCCTTATTATTAAAAGAGAAAATAACTAGCAAAACAAGACACAACTTGTCAATCACACCTCATTTGTAGTGTCTATTACACATTAACTAAAAACAAAGAACAAAGGTTCCCTCCTCCCTCCCAAAAAAAGACCAAAAAAAAGGAATCAAAATTGACAATTTTTTTTTTTGGCTGATTTTTTGTTAAAACTGCTGATGAATCACGATTTTACATTTGACGACCAACAAACAACATACAACATACAACAGCAGCAATAGTATAATCATCATCTGCCAATACACTCATAAGATATGTCGTCTTCCCTAATGTCACAACACCAACCAACTCAAATGGCAGCACATATTACTACACCTTCTCCTCCATTGGATACTAATCACGAGACCAAGAATTTTACAACCACCATTGCATCATCATCCACTTCTGGCAATAACAATGGCAACTCTAATCTTACTGTGAATATGAAGAAGAATTCACTTCATGGTCCTATTTCACCTATCCAAAATACACCCAATGACATTAATAATGCCACTACTGCATCAAGTTTAAATACTACCGCATCTAATTCACGCAATTCATTTCTTTTGAAACAACCTTCAAATGGAACAACCACCACTAGCATATCTATTTCAGATCCAATATATTCTACTCATGAACCTCAAGATAATACCAATAAACTACCAGATCACCATCGACGCGACTCTAGTTTGTCCATATCACCTACCGTATCTCCTACACAAAAACCAACAGAAGACTTTAGACATAATATCTTTAGTAAAGTAACTGGAGTATTTCTGAATTCCAAATCAACCTCAAGATCAAACTCACGTCAGAATTCCCTTCAGAATTCGCGTCAGAACTCACGTCAGAATTCAATGACGTCATTAAGAGAACAATTGGGACAATATCAACAACGGAATAATTCAACTGATCTTGATAAAGTTAGTGAAATGTTATCTCCACGTACTCTTGGGAATCAATCAACTGGTGGTACAAGTGCAGCATTCCCTTATAGTTCACATTTGAATTATGGATCAACTAGTGGATTCTTTCCGTATAAATCATATCATTCATCTCCAGTAAAGGAAACCAATCGGGTGTTATTGGAATATGATCCTATAAGTAGAAGAAAAGTGTTGAATACTTATGAAATACTTAGAGAGATTGGAAGAGGAGAACATGGAAAAGTCAAATTAGCTAAAGATTTGATAACTAATGAATTTGTTGCTATTAAGATTGTTAATAGAAAATCAAAAAAAGATAGACCATCACTAAGAATACGAAAGAATTCACTCTCAAATAATAATTCTCAATTGTATAATGAATATGAAATGAAGATAAAGCGAGAGATTGCCATTATGAAGAAATGTCGTCATAAACATATTGTTACCCTTAAGGAAGTATTAGATGATTTGAGTTCATATAAGATTTATCTAGTATTAGAATATTTGGAAAAGGGTGAAATCAAATGGAAGAGATTACCAAATGAACCAAAACAAACCATTGAACAAATCAATAGTCTGGAAATTCCATGTTGTGGAAGTCAAAAACAACAACAACAACAATCGGCCGATTCACAATCATCATATCGTCGAACCCATCGCCCTTCGACACACATCACCGAACGGGATTTATTATCAAATGAATATTCACCAAATTTAACATTCAAACAATCAAGAAGTGTGTTTAGAGATATTGTTCTAGGATTAGAATATTTGCATTTACAAGGAATTGTCCATCGTGATATAAAACCCGCGAATTTATTGGTTTCTTCCGAGAATATTGTCAAGATTAGTGATTTTGGGGTTTCATTTGCATCATCATTAAGTGAAAATGAAGAAGGACATTTAGTTAATGAATTAGATTTGGCCAAAACTGCCGGTACTCCGGCATTTTTTGCACCTGAATTATGTCGAGAATGTAACCCGGACAAGACTTGTAAAATTGATTATAAGATTGATATTTGGGCCTTAGGGGTGACTTTATATTGTCTTTTGTTTGGAAAAGTACCATTTAATGCTGATTCTGAATATGAATTGTTTAAAGTGATTGTTAATCAACCTTTGGAGTTCCCCGAGACTAAGGATTCATTTAATTCCCCGGCAAATGTTACTGAAGAAGAATTTGAATTGGCGAAGGATTTATTAAGTAAATTATTGGATAAGAATAGTAGAACCAGAATTGAAATTAAGGATATTAAAGAACATCCATTTACTTTGATGGATTTAGAAGATGATTTGGAAAAATTGAATGAATTGTTCACGATGAATCAAGAAGATAATATTAATTTGGATTTCGATTTAGAAGATCATGATATCGTATCAAAAGAAGAAATAGACAATGCAATTATTGGTATTGGTACAAGAATTAAACGAAGTTTAGTTAGAGCTATTCGTGCTGGAGGTTGGAAAGATTCTGATGTTAGATCAAAATTTGCCGCTTTACAATTAGAACATTCCAAAAGTGGATCCAGTGAAGATGATTCTACCACTTGTTCAAATTTCAATTCCCAATCTAGAGTTAATGTCTATAATCCTGGTTTACATTCCCATGTTCATTCCATGATTTTATCCGAAGGTATGCCGATTTCAGCCGCTACTCCACCACCACCAAACATGCATCCATCTCATCCTGCTTATCATCTGACAAATTTCCCACCGTGGACCCATTCATCACCTTCAGGAATATTTAGAAATGGATCACATCATACCGAACATCATAACCCCCATGTTCCATCTGCATTATCACACCAAGCACCAACACCAATCAGTACTTCCTCAGGAACAACCTCGTCGGTGTCCCAGATGAACAGTCCTTATTCTTATGCAGGCATTAGAGAAGGAGCAGGAAGCACCAATAATAATGTTGGTTCACGAAGTTTTTTGCATGAAATGATAGAATCACATAGTAATAGTTCAAGTAGACGAGGTTCAACTAGTATCATATCAGAAGCTCCTCAGATTGAAACGAAAAGAAACGTGGGTGGGGATTTATATTTGAAGAATCAATGTATTGTGGAAACATTCAAGGGAATTCAATTACAGGATGATAAACGAAGACGGTCGAGTATATTTTCATTACATTCTCAAAATTCAAGTGTGAATATCAAACATCATGATTCGGTTGGATCTAATAATAATGAGGAGATACTTTCGAGGAAACCAAGTGGTGTTAGTATGAATAATGCCCATTATTTGAATCATCATCATGTTCATCATGGAAGTATTGCTGCTCCTATCCCGGTTCCGGCATCATCTATCAAGACATCAATTCCTAGTTCTTCTGGCACCTCTACAAATGTTGGCAATCCAACTACAAGTTTCTTGAATAATAATGACGGTAATACTAGTAATAATAATAATACTAATGGACGTTATCAATTTGGTCAATATTTGAACAATAATGGAACTCAGAGTTCGGGCAGTAGTAGACCTTCATTGAAAGTTGGTCCAATTAGTATTAGACCTGCAACTATTCAACCAAATAATGAAATTTCAGGAGAAGAAATGGTTGATATTCATAATCATAATGGACGTGATTCAGTTATGTCCTTACCTTTGAGTGAAAGTTTTGCAAGTTTGGATAGTATCAATGATGATTATTTAAGTATGAAGTATCAAGAATTTACCAATCGGAAATTGAATAGTCAATCTGAACAGCCACCACAACAACAACCACTGGGACAACCAACTGCTACTGCAACCACGGCTAGGAAACTTCGAAGAAAATCAAGTCTTTCAGAAACGTTCTTGGATCAAATGGGGAATAATCAATTACAAAAGATTAATCAAAAATTCAAAGATTTTAACCTTAGTAACCTGATGAAGAAGAATGATTCAGCCAATAGTGAACCTACTCAAGACAGCACTAATCGTGATCCATTATCTAGATATACCAGTCGTGATTCCTATTCATCGTATTCAACCTGTAGTAGTTCAGATACTGACGAAGACTCAGATGAAGAAGAACAGAATTTAACCCTTGCTTTCACATCCAAAGTGGCACCATTAGCTCGTCCTATGTTTAATTTAAGTAAAAGGGCCAAATCTCATGAAAGTAATTTACCTAGATTAGGTGCCAATGGTGGAGTTATTTCAAAGAATCCTGCTGGTACTACAATTGTTTTCCATGATGGTTTGCCTGAATTTGAAGACTTGCCTATGGATTTAATGAAAGCTGCTGGTGGAGGTTCAATTAGTCTTGGCTCTGGACAACCTAACATTGATCTAAATCCTACGATTTCGGTGATTGCTAGTAATGGATCTTTATCTACTTTGACTGGTGAGATCCAAAATTCAATAGATGATCAATTAGCACAAAGTGAAAACCCAGCTCCAGCATCAACACCAATAGATTCACAACAGATGGTGGCAATGAACAATCAAGAGAAGGTTATCAAGAGAAAACCAAAACGGATGGGACTTCGGGAGAATATTTTTAATAATCAATTCAATAATCATTATAAGAAAGATCCAATCTATTCCCCATTCCCAATTTCTAAACATTTGGATAATGATAAGGAGAGTATAGCCAAGAAGAATTCGGCATTGGATGACAGTGATGATGAGATTAGACCTAATACTTATAGATCAAATTCGGTTACTGTCGCGTTGTTACAGCATCAAAAGGTGGATTTACAGGAATTGATAGAAAATGAAGATAAACATGAAGAACAAGATCCTAAAGCTATTGAAAACAATAAGAATGAATAAAGTATGGTGCTTCCATAGGTTAAAGAAGGATATATATATGTGTATACAAAAAAGTAGGTGTATATATAAATTTAAGTTTACAGCTAGTCATTTAAACCATATTTTCTCATTCTCTACAAGTCTCTACAGATTATAGTTTAACAGATAATATAATATCATTTTCCAAAATATATAAAGACCCTACCTACCCACCAAGCTATAAAATATATACAAAATAAACAAAATAATTAATAATAATAATAAAAAGAATAATAATAACCTATAATAAGCACTCTCTTGTTTGTGCTTTGTAATGCATTTCCCACAAATTCTGAGATACATAAATACAATAATAAAAATGAATCAAATTCCCTTCTTTAGGGAATCAATATAAATGAATGCTGTAGTTGTTGATGCAATAAAACCATCACAATAATTCCAATTTCTTTTTCAAAACCGATAATCGATTTCCAATACTCACAATAAACTTCTCAACCATTGCTCTATCTTCACTATCTAATTTCGGTTCTACACTAACCTCCCCATATCCACTAGTATCATCATCATCCAACAATGCTTCCAACATCCAAATAGCAGTACTATAAGCCAATTCACATCCCTTGAGATCTTCCTTCACCAACTCATTCACGGCTGCATTTCTTGACATTTCTAAAGCACGATCAAAAATCAATTTTTCGGCAATGATCTTGGGTTCATGAGTAGATGATGAATGGACAGAATCGTTAGAACTACGTTCTTTGGCGATTAATTGGTTTGCTTCTTCTAATCTCAACTTAACAAATTCTGCCTTTTCCAAACATTCATTAAATTTCTCTCTGATCCATTGAACCAATTGGTTGATCTTGATGGAAGTCTGGATATCGAGTTTGCTACTTTGTTGTTGTTGTTGTTGTTGTTGCAGGTAGTCTTCACTTCCGTCTTGTTCATATTGGTTATACCACCATTCACTTGCGATAGCCATACCTTTGGCCAATAATGACAATGTCTTGACATATAACCCGACACCTTCTTCACTAATGGTTTTGATAATCTTAGGAGGTAACATGTCATTCTGGTGTAACAAATCATCATGTAATCCGTCAAGATCGTTGGATGGAGGACTGGGGATTAATTGACTAAATTTGACATCGGCAAATAAATTAACGGCATGAGCTTTGGTAGCAATGGATTCAAGATTATATAATACCCTCTCATCATTATTGAATCCTTGGAATTGTTGTTGTTGATTTTGGATTTGACTTGGGGTGATCTCCATTCCAGTATTGGTGGTAATTGTGTTTATGGTTGATGAAGTTGGAAGATTTAATTTCTGTAATAATAAATGATTGGCAAAATTTGGACTGGATAACACGGTGGAGAAAGATATATTTCCACCAGTGGTCACTTCTTCTGAAACATTAGAGCCATGTTGGTTATGATGATGATTGGAAGTTCCAAACAATCGATGAGACGCCAATCCGATAGCTTTACTTAATGCATTAGTAGGTGATATGGAAATTGATATTCTTCGATCTGTCAAACTTGGTCTTCTTTGATTCGCACCTCCTCCACTTGAAGATCTTCTGTATTGTTGGTATTGTGATTTATTGCTACTGTCAATAGATCCAGCCAGACTCTTTCTTGGATTAATAGCAACTGCTCCACTACCAGCATGGGCTAATTCGTCAGCAATTGCATTCACTTCAACTGCTCGTTTTTCAACCACAACATAGTCTTTTTCTAATATGATATCATCTCTTCTAAATTTAAGATTCGGTACGTTGGCTACTTGGATCGATTGAGAAAGTTGTTCTGGCCCTGGGCTGCTTTTGTTGATAATTTGTTTAATTTCTTCGTCACGGGATGTTGGAGTTGGCGACGGAGATGGAGTTGTTTTAACTATAGTGTTGGGAGAAGGTGACTTCTTGTCTCCCCCTGTAGGGGATGATGATGATGGCTGTTGTTGTTGTTGTTGGTCCTTATCAGTTGACGTCAAGGGGATTGGTTTAATGAATTGTGATCTTTCACTTGGTTTAATTGGACTAATATATTCACTAATGAATAAATTCTCATCCATTTCTGATGTTTCCAATGGTTGGTCAGTTTCTTGTAAATCACAAGTAATTAATGGATCATTGAAGAATTCAGTAAATGAAATACGTTCAGTTGGATTGTATTTCAATAAAGATCTAATCAATCTTTTCAAATTCTCAGGAACTTGGGCTGCAGATGGGAATTTAATCTTATCATTTGCCTTCTCGATATTCTTTAATAATTCAATATGATTCCCTGCTTTGAAAGGTGGTTTCCCTACTGTCATTTCATAGAGAACAGCACCCACTGACCATAGATCCGCTTTGGCATTATACTTTTCATATCGGAGGATTTCTGGTGCCATGTAAAGTGGGGATCCACATAAGGTTTCTGCCATGGATGTTGAAGGGAGGAATCTAGCGAATCCGAAATCGGCAATCTTTAGTATTGGTAATTCCCACATACCGACAAACTGGTTATCTATAAAATCTTGTTTGGAATGTACTGGAGGACATAATAATAAATTCTGAGGTTTAATATCACGATGTACTAAACTCTTATCACGTAAAAATTGTAAGGCAGATGATAATTGACGTAAAAAATGGATGACCAATACTTCATTTAATCCATGAGATCCAGGTGGTGACGGGTAACGATCCAATAGACTTGATATTATGGGATGAGTCTTTACTAGTTGCTGTCTTCTTCTGATGAAGTATGACAAATCTCCCATTGAACAATAATCCATAACCAAATGGAAATGAGAAGACGATTGTTTATAATCTAGTAATCCCACTATATGAGGATGTTTCATAGATTTCAAAATCAGAATTTCAATCTCTAAATTTTCTATCAATTTCTTAGACTTTAACTTAGATCGAACTATTGACTTGATGGCAACCGCTCGATTATTTGTCTTATCTATGCATTTATACACAGTTGCAAAGGAACCCTTCCCAATCTCAGGGCCTACTAGATATTGTCCTATAGCTTCTGTATATTTTCCATGCCCTGATCTATTATCCTTCCTTCCTGTAGTTGATATGGTTGACACTGTGTCTGCTTGCTTTGTAGCTTCAATTGGTGTCTTTGACATGATACATATGTGGTGGCGTAGTAACCCTATCGTTCCTTATTCTCCAAAAAAAAAGTAGCGGTAATCCGAGAAATAAACACCAAAGGAAAAAAGATTTATAAATTAAATAAAAATAAAAGATGACTGCCTTTATTATTAATCAACTTTAGATTTTATAATAAATGATTTCAAATTGGCAACTATTTATAGGAGGAAACCGGCTTGTATAACGTTTTTAATTTTTTACCTGGGAAAAATATTAAATTAGTGAAATTACTAATTCAGTTGATGACAACAAATAAATGAGTCAAATAATAAAACACCAAATAAATTCAGATTTATAAAACTGTGGTGGAAAATGGATGTAACTTTTTTGTTTTGAATTTGTGAGTAAACTAAATTTAAAAATAAATTAAAGTTGTCAACCAAAAAGACTATTTTACTCAAGAAAACCTTATTCTTATATATTTCGTTATACCACCTAAATCTTTGACAGCCTTTTATGAGCGAAATCTGATAAAAGGAAAAAAATAGACCAATTTCAACCTAAAGAAAAAACCTCCAAAAAAACCGTGACTTGACAACAGCTAGTTCGATGATTAACAGTTAAATTGTAGGATTCCAATGTGATAGCGTATTTGCTTGGCTTCTCTTCTATTTTGTTTGCAATGGTTATGTGTAGACAGGTTTGAAAACACGTTGTACTGTTGCAAAAAAAAATCAACTAAAAACTTCACAAAAAAATCAAAGATCCTAATAGATTTGATTTACTTGAAAACGGGGAGTAGACTGTAAAAAGTACTTCCTGTTGGTGAGTAAGTTATTCAATTGATTGAAAGTCAACAAAGGAAAGAAGCAAAAGCAAAAACTGGTTGACTTTCTTACAACCACACTTTTGGTGTGTCAAAAAGTGTGGGAAGGAAATTGTGTGTGTGTCTATTTATTGTAACTAAATACACGACCCTCTTTTTTTCCCTCTTCTCCTTATCTTATCGAAAATGGCAGCAACACCTGGGAACCGGTTATATGCAGTACTGTGATAGGAGGGGCGAAATAGTGGGGCACATGGGTCTAGAGGATCCAGCAACAATTCAACTTGGTCATCAAAGAGACCGCAAGCGACTTGGTTTCTATTTTTAAAATTGGCTATATAAATACTATTCCTATCTATGTCTCTAACTGTACGTCAACCATTGGATAGAGTTCCTCATAAAATAACAAAGTTTATTAAAATCTCTATTCTCAAAAAGCGCAAACCATACCTTATCCTCACATACCAATTTAAATGCACTTTTCCATCTATGCAACTCAAAATCAACAGATTTCGTCCCAATGGTATAGAAATACCGATTATACATCCGTCTTTTGAGGCAATTAAACGTGGGGTCGTAGATATGTGGATTGCTTAGTAATTTCCCAGGGTCAAATTTCCAAATATTACAATGTACCGAGAACAATGGGACTTTGTCTGGCTTTTCAAAGAACGTTCTATAAAAATGGTCTAGTATCTTGGATTGTTCTTTGAAATCTTGATGTCTATTACTAGGATTAGATTTAAGCTTTTCATATTCAGTTGAATATAATGCATAATCGATTTGGGGATCATGTTGTCCAGTGGCACAATAACCGGTATTTCCATTGTCAAGTTGAACAACAAAAGGTTTCATGTTTGATTTGACTTGATAATAAGATGAATTAGTTACTGTGGCTGCTGCTGCAAGTGTGTCTTTATCTAACTCGCCTTTGGCTCCCAAACTGAACAAATCATAATAAAAGTCTTTACCTAGAAGGTTGTAATATAACGACATCATCAAAGCTTTAAAATGGGTCTTTTTATTGATTAACAAATGAGCCGAGTTGGTAGATTTGGCAGGTACAGTTCCTTCTAAATCATGGAAAACCGCCACATTTTGCGCTTGCTTTGGGCTTAAATTTATCGGATCCAAAAGTGGAAATGACCAACTCCTAACTTGTTTGGTGGCATTCAATTGCACACCTGCAATATCATAATATAAAGGGGATATTGACCTTGTCTGATAGTTGGGCCACATAACCATATTATGGTCCTCATATACTTGTGAATCGAAATACTTGTCGATATTAGTGACTGGGAAATTATCGGCGTCGAGTAAGAAAACATGTTCAAAAGAATTCACCAATAAACCAATGGCTCTATTCTGATGGATATCGAATTTCCATTGGGATTCGTTCGGTAAGCCAAGTACTTGCAGTAAAACCACACATTTGGCATTATATTTCTTAACCTTTTCACAGTAGTAGTGACTGTAATCGGCCTTTTGCGATAGGATGAGTTCTATTGGTAGTGTAGATCCAAGGTCTCGGAGTTGAATTATTGACAACATTGCTAACCAGTTAAATAACGGACCTCCTCCTACCATTACAATTCCTTTTGAGTTTGGGTTATAGGTGTGTTTTGGGAGTCGTTTTGGGAGGTTATTTAGAACGTTTTGATGTTTCTGTTTCATTTCTTCCAAATGGCCCCTTGATATCCTACACCTTTGTGATAATTCATTATATGATCGGCCGAAGTTCTCATTCAATGCTGGCTTCATTTCAATCCATGAAGGTTCATTCTGTTGCATTTGGATTCGGTTCTCTCCGTATAATTCAAAGACTTTCGTCCAGAAGTCGGTCCCCGGTGTCTTCGTGGGCACTGCTATTGTTGTTTCCTGTTTGTATGACGGAATCATTTTTTGAAAAAATGACTGCCTTGAATCATCTAACAAACCTGTTAACTCTTCTATTAATATGAAAGCGAATATCGCTAGTATTATTAATAGTCTAGTCTTTCTTCTCAATCGTGTCTTGACTTTTGTCGTGAACTTGGCCATTACGATATTGTCAAGATAAAGAAAGAGTCGAAGAATAGAATGATTAAAATATGAAAACCATCAAACGAAAATATCGAACCACATCGACACGAGAAATTTGCCTGAATTAGGGTTTTATTCGAAAATTCTTGCGTGGTTTCATGCTAGAGAGTTCAGTCTTTGCTTGGCACTTCATACAGACGAGTTATGCGATTTTTGCACAAGAATTAAATACGGAAATCACGACATGGTGTATCTTCTCAAGGATATCCATCATTCCAATAACCCAATAACAGAAATAAATACATATGAACTTCTTACATTCTGATGCATGAAGGTTGGAAACTCTATTCGTCAAAAGAAAGAAAAATTTTAGCGTATAGAGTTAAATTCTTACAAGAAAAAAAAAACGTCTAAGAAATTGTCGCGTCAATTGGTTTTGTCTAACTGTTAAATAATGCTATTATTGGAGCTATTATCCAGACACAACAACCAAGTAGATTGCAATGGTTATTTAAAACTATATATCTGATCTAAAAATGTTGCCGCGTAGCTTCACAGCTTGTTAATCTAGGGCACCTTTCTTATTTGCATTTTAGCTTTCTCGGTTTCCTCTCGTCAATTTCCTTCGTTACCTATGACTTCCTTTTGTTGTTGTTGTTCTTCCTTTGCTATTTCTGGTTCGTTTTGTTGTTATTCCTCCCCCGTTACTTTCCCGTTGAATCGTTCAACTGGTTGATTAGCTTCATTTTGCTGGTTGCCCATCGGCCATCTCTTTGGCGTGCTTCTCTGCCCCCTCTTCGGGTCGCATCTCTGCCTTCGCTCTGGCTTCCTTCATCTTCGCTTCCTGTACTGCCTTCTCTTTGGCTTCCTTTTCTGCCTTCTCTTTGGCTTCCTTTTCTGCCTTCTCTTTGGCTTCCTTCATCTTGGCATCCTTCTCTGCCTTCTCTTTGGCTTCCTTCTCTTTTGCTTCCTTTTCTGCCTTCTTTTTGGCTTCTTTTGCCTTCTTATCCCTCTCAAGCAAATCTAACGCCGCTTGAGGTAGTGGAATTCCCATAGCTTTGAAATATTTCTTCCCACAAGGACTCCTGTATGTCCAATCCTTTTCTGGATCACACGCACAATGGTGACTTGCTCTATAAGTCAACTCAAGTGGACA